TTATCTGCGAGAGTCGTAAACAAATAAATATTGCACAGAAGAATATATTCAGGAAATGTTTGATAAAAATTAAATTAGAAGTTGGAAGTTTAGTTATACAAGACATTAGAAAAACTTGCATAATATTGACTAATTAATATTTATCTAATGCGGAACATTTATCTATCTAAAAGTCTAATTATATATTTTAACACGTGAGATAATATATAAAATAGCATTAATATTCAGGCTGATGTTCCAAATGATGCAAGTGCTAAATAGATTATTTATATATGAACTACCTTTCTCTCTAATTAAGCGACAAAATTACGAAACGACTTGTAACGATCTCCCTGTATTTATGTGAGAATACGAGAAGACGCGAAACTGATGAAGTTCGTTCCATAGGCTTTTCCTCCCCTTTTCTCTCGCCCAAGTCATCGCCTCTTCCAGTATCTCCCCTATCTCTCGTTCTCGTTGATATCGTTATCATAGCCTCCGCGATTGTTACAATCTCGTCTCGACAATGCTTTTACGATGCTTTCTCTCGTGTCCCTCGTAACATCCCACTCGATTCCGGTGGCCAGTCGTGAAAATCTCGGCGATTTGAATGCGAAAACTCGCTCGTTTGACGATCGAGTTTCGAGGCGTGCTTAATCTTATCCGGCGCCGCTAATAAATCTGACATATCTATCGTTTTATAATTCTTGCATGTCGATTACGTGATTGTGTCCCAGGGTCGCGACGATAAAGGTATAAAGTCGCGTTTAATTTTATATACTTATCAGTTGGCGATAGATAACAACGCTTTTAGTGTTGTTTTTAGTTAATTTTTTAATTTACATGTTTTTAGTTAGTTTTTAGAATAGAGCTTCGACAAGTAATTTTTCAAATAATTTATTTCTTTATGACACGATTACGAAACGGACGCAAATATTTTCGAGCGGGAAGATCATTTTAATAACTCTCAGTTTCATGCAAAAATCCCCGTTCTTGATATGCGATACAATAATAGCAGCAGAGCTGCGCTCAAGGAGGAAAAGGATCACTCGAATGGAACGAATTCATGGTAGTTATGCGTGTCTTATCGTGCCATGCGGTAGGGAATGAGTCATTCTATGCTTGCCGCGGAGAGCTCGCATACGAAAAGTCGTGATGGCTCGCTCTTTTTTGCGGAATAAATTACAACATCTTACGACGCAAATGGCCAATATCTTTTCCATGTCCGTACGCAGAGTACTATATCAGAAATGCAATTTAAAAGTTGTTTACAGTTTGAAGAGGATATTTCTAGAACGATAGGTGTTGTCGGTCAAGTATAAGATAATTTCAGGTAAAAAAATTTCAGGTTTTACGATTTCTCCAATTTTATGTTTTTCTCACGACGTTCGCGCATCTCCTTTTTCAATAAACTCTTGAAAATTGTACTACCTTGCGTTCTGACTAAGAGTTATACGCGCTCGGATACATCTGTCTGTTGTTTGCTCAGGCGGTTATCGGTGCACCTGCGCCAGCAACAATGCGCGGCTCTCGGATGCAAGTCATTACGCTATTAATCGCAGGAAGTCGCGTTTTTGGAGGACGCGCTGACGCGTTTTACGACCCCATTATCAATTTCCGCGAGATTCGCGATTCGAATATTTTTTACGAGAGCATCGAGTAAATGCGCGCACACTTTCTTTCGATCAGAAAGATCGCTGTCCCTCTCTCCGACGAGTTTCCACTTCCGGTGATTTTTACGACGTTACATAAATTCCGCGTTCAAGTCGATCCGTCGAGACGTGATTGCCCGCATCACGGTCATATTACGTTTAGATTTGATTTACATACTTAGGAAAAAATAACGCTTTTTAATAGTAGAGAAAGAGTGTCGTTTTTAATTAATAATTAAAAAAAAGGACAATTAAATTATAATATTTGAAGGAGTTTACATTTACGGAGTTTATAAAATATGTAGCTATTTCAATGAAAAAAATCTTTATGAATATATTTTTAGAAATGTAATTTTGTTAAGTATTGAATTTACAGATAAATAAAAAGAAAGTAATTTTCAAGTGATTTATCGTGCTAAAGACATCGTTGCAAGGTAATTACTCTCTATCTAGGTAAAGTTATGAATATGTAAACCGTGGAATGGGTGACGGAACTTCGTTTTCTATGACGTTAACATACTAGTTATGATAATGGAACGTGTGGGAGGCAGACGATCGAGAGATTCTTCCCTATCGTAGGCAGTTATAATAATGTATGCGACCGAGATTCTTTCAGCAATACGTAAATTCTTCATGAAATTTTAACGAAAGAATTTAAATTATCTTGAGATTAATTTAATAAAAAATGATTACTTGCTGTCTGCAAAAATTCTAAAAACCAAATTTTTACGTGTATTAGAGAATATTTAATTAAACATTCTTCTTTAAGTATTGTTTGTTACACGTCATCTTGTTAATAGAATTTTTGCGAATGACGTGCGCGGATCGATTGCATAATAGAGGATTCGAGGAAGTCTGTGTACAATTGCGAATCGCGATATTGTACTCCCGATACAATTAATAGCCATCCCGCGTTTCCCATGCCGAAATAGGACATTTCCTGCCTCTTTTGCGTAACGCGACTAACACAAATGCAAAATAGTGTGCCATATTCCAATGTAAATTTGTCGCCTTTTTTCTTAGTGTGATAAGCTATTCGCGAGTTTAATCTTAATGAGCATTTGAAATACACCATGCAAAATTTATTTCTTTGTCAATCATTCTTTTTCCAAAAGATATAATTATGTTTTTTTTTTAAGCTCTCACTCATTTATTACATAAGTCGTGAAAATTTAATGTAACAACAATGAGGGTGATACCTCGAATTCCGTTATTCGATCTTATTCCATTTCCGTGTCTCATTCTAAGAACGTTTTTAGAGGAAAACCGTGCCAAAAAACCCGTGCACGTCTCGTCTGAATACGTATGTAGATAACGGGGATTCCCCTTCCAAGAAGGAAAACGAGCATTGCACCATGATCACATAGATATAATTAAATACTTGTCTGCGTAACCCGACGATAAACGCTTGTTTGAAGCGCGATATGCGGCGCTGCTAGTTTCCCCCCTCGATTAGCGATTTTATTCTTGCGTCAGCGTACGCGTGCGAGAAATTACACGTTGCTGTGCCCTAAAGAGCACAGGTGAATTTATAGCCGAGAGAGAGAGATGTAAAATACGCGAATTTCCACATTTATTAATAATCTTAAAAAATGAATTTGATATTTGGATAAGAGAATAAAACATTAACGTCGGTGTGCGTTAACGTCGTATCCCTCGATGTGCAATCGAGAGATGCGACTTTGAAGACTTCGAAGCCTGATTCTGCGGTTTTGAAATTCTCTGTGACAGAATTGTGGGTACGTTCCGATCGAGTTAACAAAAGGAAAAATCTCGCTCGCGCGCGAAGCGTTTCATGGTCGTCGCTGTCTCATGGCACAGATACCCGTTTTATGGTATAGGGCCGTTGCGTCAACAACAGCGGAATAAAAACGTCGTGTGCAATATGCGCGAAAGTCACCGTGAACGAAGATACAGAAGATATTGCGATAACGTCGCGTAAAGTCCAGTCTCTGTGCAGAATCGTGACAAAACGCAATTGTGACTCGGCCTTGTTCTTCATCTTAATCTCGATTTCTAATAATATTTAACGATGTCATTTTTATATCGAATGAAAGAGAATTTGGAAAATTTTTGCAATTCGCCAATGAAATTGATCCTAAAGGCACATTTAATGTACATAGGATATTTCAGTATTTTATTATATCGAGTTTTCATTTATTACATTAAAAATTGATTCTAAATAAATAGAGGGAAATTTATTGTAGCGGGAAGAATTCTCTTTTACTGCTAGTTTTGTACAACGAAATTTCGCTATCTATAACTAATCGTACCGTTATATACCTTGTCCAGTGGCTAGTTGTTGCACCGTATTACTTTAATTACGCGTTCGATTATCGGGACACAATTACCGCGGGGAAAGCAAAAGGATACGTGTAGTTTCGTATCGCGGCGAAATAAATAGCCACATGCGGCTATATATGCGATAATTCGGAGCACTGAAAGCCAGTCGTACGTGAAATTCAGTATGTAGGACTGTAGCGGCCGCTGTAGCGATAGCCGACTAACATTATTTCGAAGGGATTTAAACGGTTCGCGGCGGCACGGGGAAAACCGGTTCTCTCTCCATCGTCGTGCATGACGCCAAGTAATGGAATTCCTTTAAGTACCGTTCAGAGTTGCATCAGGATCCAAGGTCATTATAAGTATCTCCTCCGCGGGCAGCGATCTTTATCCGTGTATCTCGCGTGCACTCGGTCGGGTGCGCGATATTGGCCGAGAAGCGCCGCGATACAATCGCGAAATACCCGGGCGGAAACTCGTGTCTCGTTAAATCTCTACAGTAGGCATTTGTGAATCCAACCGTATTACGCGGCCGCGGCCGCGGCGTGCAGTTTTTGTCTGCGCGCTGCAGAAGGTTGCGCACCAACACGGACGAAGCGTCAAAAAAGCCGCAGTGTCATTCGGCCTAAAAGAAATATCTCGTCTCGTTCCGTTTCTGCCTCCGTAATGCGGACGTAGAGCGAGCGATCTTTATCTGGATACTATTCCAGTAAATTATAGCCATGCGAAGCCATTAAAAAAGTTCTGTTAATAATCAAATTATATAAATTATACATATATACGTAATGAAATCCAGTGTATCCAAGCTGCATATATAACTTCCGTATCTACTTATATTTGCTGACCAACATTACTTTGCATACCGATATTTCTGTGTGCATGCTGCTTTTTTTATTTTATATATTATGTTATTTATATATGAATCGTATATATATGTAAGATGCCCTACTTTTCTTGCGCATTATTATTTAATGATGGATTGTCCGGTCAATTTTAAGTCGATTGTTCCCGCATATTATCCTTTATTGAATAACAGTCCTATTTTCCTTCAATAATACGTGTATCCTTGTTCTCTTTTTGTTTCAGAACACGCAGAAGTCTATCGACTCCAACGACACGGCGCACAGCGATAGTACCACCGTCGCGCAGACGACGGCCGACGGCAAAGAGTCTAACATGCGAGAAAATGGCAACGGCAGCATGAACCACGTGCACGGTACGGGCAACGGCACCGTGGGCGTCGGGGATGGCGCGAACAACAGCGAACCTCGATCCCAGGGCCTGAACTTGACGATGAGCGCGAAGGAGCTCAGGGAGATGCTGGCGCAGCGCAAAAAATACGACCCGAAGAAAGAGTCGATCGGCTTCAAGGACAAATTCGACATCGTGCAGAAACTGTAGACGCATCCTCGTGCCTCTCTTGTGACGTCGGTAATCCTTCACTCCTTTCTTCCTTTATTTCTTCCTTCTCCATCGTTATCGCCGCCGGCGAGCGCTCGGCGACGATGACGACGACGACGATGGTTCCCTTCCTACGATGTAATGCATTTTGTTGTAATCGATCAAATTGTTGTCGTTATAATAAAAACACGATTGTTTAGATTATCGTGGACACTGAGCATTGACATCGATATCGTAATATACATACATTTATTTGCAGCGCAAAGGGTGCTGCGAAGTGTATTCGGATAACGAAAGGAGGTAATGTTGTACCCTATATTGTTAATTCTTAGTTTACATTACTTATTTGTAGTTTTTGAAGGCGAACTTACATGTGCAATCTCTGTCGCTTCCGCGCCGGAAGTCGACAGATTTCGAGTCACCGGTCTATCAACATTTAATAATAGAACTATGAAATACGAAGAGAGTTATTTTTAACGAAACACAATTTACACAATTTTGTCACTTTTTTCGTTAATACTTTGTACAACTTATTACAAGTTACGTGGTAGCCCGAGAATATAATTTTTTTTTTGAAGTAATAATTTAATCTTAAAGATGTTCCTGTTGTAATTAATTACAACGCGCTTCCTGATTAATGAATAATTAAATCTCACTCTTTCGACTTGATTATCCACGGTGTCGTCATGTTAAATTCTAAGCACCGTCTCGTCCGTAAAATTCGGGAGATCCGTTCGCCTCTTCTTCCCACGACTTTCTCCGGCGAGAATTGATAGCCGTCTCCTGATGTAGTAATCGTCTCGAACGTTACGTTGATCATGCGAATTCTTCGCCGGCTGAGGACGGTTTCTAATTCCCAATCGCGCGCAAATGAGAGATAACCTCTGATAAATATTTCCTTAATGCGTATTGACAAATTGGAAATTTATTTCTCGAATATTATTTCTCGATGCCTCGACATTTTATTGACCAACAGATCAAATGTTTAATTAATCGCGGAGCGTGTTCAATAAATCATAGGAAGACAGCTTAGCGTTCGTAAATTTTAAAGAATTATAACAAACATTCAGTTATTCAAAAAGAAACTCCAGATATCTTAAACACCTGTCTTTTATTTCGCGAACGTTAATCAGTATACGACTTACCGTTCGATTTATTGCAGTCGCTCTCGGTTAAGGCTGTGTAATGGAGATTACACGGTTGCCAGGACGAGTTTGATGTCGACACGCGGAGAATTCGACGCGCGCGGAATCTTCCGATAATCGTGCGCGAAGCGTAGATAATATTCGCGTGAGTCGGCCAAACGGCCGGTTGCAAAACCGTGGACGTCAATTTCGACGTTGCATTCGGGGAGGGAGAAGGATTCGTGATTTCGGTTCGTAGTCGCGGCACGGCTGTAAGGACTCGCAAGGACGGACGTTCCTCGCGTGCGCGCTGCAACAGGTCTATGAAATCAGTCGGTCGCCCGTCGTGCGGTCCAAGGACGGAGCGATCTGGGAGAAAGTACAGGCCAGACGTCGGACGAGTCTCGGTTAATCTCCGTTATCGAATTCAGGACGCGAGTCGTTCTTTTACGTTGCGCGTTGCAACACCGGGCGGATCGATGCAGGAATTGAACATCCGTGAATTTTACAAATTACGATGCGTCATACCTCGTATATATTTTGCTCAGGCCCGATTCGGTACTTAACGCAGTTAATTGGAGCACTAAGATTAATGTGGGCATAACAACGGTTGCATTTCGCGATTAAATATTTTTCATTACAATGAATAATTGCGATGCTGATTCAATAATTCAATTATTGAATCAGTAATTATTGTCTGAATAGTACTGACAATTCGACGTGTAGCACATAATCAAGCTAGTATACAAGTCAATTGCAAAAGTTCCTAAATTTTTTTTGGTTCTCCGAAACACGTTTCTCACATTTGATTATTTTTATTAGTGCTCCAATGAGATAATATCGAACAATTCGCGACGTGATTTTGTTTTTAAAAGGGCTAGTAAGAGATAATCTTGATCGGAGAGTTCACTCTCCGATCAAGTATTTTTCCGATAAGAAACGGTATCATACCCGATAAACGTATAGTGTTAGTGACTAATCGGACCAATCCAACTCCGCTGTAGTTAATTGCTGATTTAATTGCCAGCTTAACGATCTAGTTATCTCAGGTGATAGGATATGAATATTGCCTCGTGATTAGTACAATGATGTTGCATGTCTTATCGATGCATTTAATAGCAGCCAGGACAAACGTTTTTCATTTAATCATTTTATTCTTGAAATTTAAAAACAATTCGAGGTTTCGAGTGCAATATAAAAAGGGGAGATAAAATTAAATTTTTGAAAAAGTTACGCATTATTTCTAGCCATGCGATTTTCGCTTTTCTTCCTCGTCTCATTCCTCGTTTTCGCATTTCTTTTTCTTTAATTATAGCTACCGATTTAACGACTGCCACGGTCGTTTATTGTCACATGTCCTGTGGGAAAACCCATGTGCCAGCAATTAAATGCATTCTTACACGCGTCATATACGGTAGAAGAAAACAATAGTAGTAAAGATGCAACAAAAAACTGGGACTCAAAGGTAATTAAATGTAAGAGAATAGCAACACAAAGTGATTCGATAGTAATCTTTGTTCCATGCGACATATCGCCGAGTACAAAAAATTTAATATAACGAACATACTCGAAATGTGCTACGTCCGTAACGAAAACGTTTACGAATGAACACGTTCCGAAATATTTCTTCGCACAAAATGCCCATTTCGGAACGGAACGAAATCAATTAAGCACGTGCGGCTTTCTCGGGGCGAGTATTATCAGAGAGCGACGATAACAGTGGCTCGACAAACAGGTACGAGCGTTCTGAAATTTATAACTCGCGTTCTCGTGACGTGTGTGTTCGATAAACTCGTCGAATGTGGAGTCTCGGCATTGCGTAATCGACGGAGCAAGAATGTCGCGTTACAATGGCAACGAGAGAGAGAATCCCGCCTCTCGGGATTCCGTCTTCGCTTCTACTCGGCGCTTCTCGCCGAGAAAAGTTGGGTACATAACTCGAGACTCTCGTTGCTAAATATTACGACGACACGTTGCGCAACGTTCAATTATCGCTATCGTTGTCGTCGTTATGCATTCACCTGTTGAGTGTGCGCAGGCGTCGCGTTTCCGAGATATATAAGTATGGATTGTGCCTTTTTGCATAAATTCACATACAGCTTAGTGAACGAACCTTATCGTCTGGATTGTAATTCTAACAACATCCAGATTTTTTTAATTGATTGAAATATACAAAGACTGTTATCGAAAATTAGAAACTGACTTAGAAACCAGATATTTACAACGATACAGAATATTTTACAAATTAAATTTTCCTATTGTAGAAAACAAATGGATCTATAATTTCTTTTTCTTCCAATTTTGCACGTAACACCTTAAAAATCTTTAAAATATTTATTTCATTAAAATTAATTATTCTTATTTTGTCATCATTTGTTTCGAAAATATTAATCGATATATATTTAAAATTTAATCAGCGCTCTTTTATAAATTTATGGCACCGTCGAATGCTTCCTGTTAAAACGACAAGTCTCTTTCGTGTCGTCATTACCTACCATTAAGCTCCATACGAATTTATTCTACGTGCGAACGATTTGGTTGGAGAACACGATTCTCCGACCGACAGGCCGTCGTAATATATCACGAAAATAACAACCGTAGCAAGAGCGGCTAATAACGTTAAAACCACGTGTATGCACATACGCACGTACCTGTTACTTTGTACTAATTGCATCTGGTGCGCGTAGACCGTTATGTCATTCAGTGGCTTATCCGAGTGAAAGTATAATAACGAGGCGCCCGATCGCGCGCGAAGCAGAGAGTTTGGTGAACGAAAATACCGCATTTGCAAGTGATATATTCTTGCATTAAAAAAAAAAGCGTCGATCGCGCGATAATAACAAAGTGAGCGGTGAATGACGGACAGAATTCTGCCTTGCGAGACTCTGATTGACTTCGACGCTCGTAATTGAAGAATAGAAAACATTGATGCAATTCTCGATTGGCTCGAATGTCAGGTTTAAAAGAAAAATAATTTAAGCCAGAGCGAATTTTACACAGGCGTACGGTGTATCTCACTTCGAACAGGGAATGCTCAACGTATAAATTAAGCAAAAAGGAGACTGCGCCAGAAGATCAATCGTTGTAAAACTATTGACATTTTTTGGCATCTTACATATGCCTAATTAAGAGCGTAATATCAGGTACATGTATTACAATTAGGTGCGAGTATCGTAATGTATCTGTGATCAGTTTGACGAGCATTTTCCAATAATCAGTTTTCTTATGCGAGAGTGTGATACATCGAAATCTTGCTGCGTGATTTCTGTTTTGCAAGCGTAGGGAAAAGCAGTTTATGTCACAACAACGTTGATGCGAATGTGTGTTTTGGAATGAGAGATACGACAGACAATAGAAATTACATTCCAGATCGTTTTTTATTCTAATGATATTTCGTAAGGCTTCTGCGTGTATTTAAAAATCTCAGATGTGCCGTATAGTAATTCATTTGATAATATGAGCATCGGTAACGTGCGATACGCTTATTTTGCGATCGGCATAGTTTTAGCATTGACGAAAACGAAATTGGAAAGAAGAGGCAGCTTAAAAATTGTTCAGAAAATTATTTCGGACAACTCACTGTCTCGATGACGGTTACTATTTCCAGCGGAATTCCTGAAACTGCTAATTATATCGCTCGCAAAATGGCCGATTTGTGATTAAGATTGCGACTAAGATCAATAGGAAAACGAATAAATGCGACATTTAGGAGACAGGGTTTCGGACAACATTGTGATGCTCTCGTTCGTCGGTTACAAATGCGACAAGCGCGAAACATGCGGATTCTCTTTCTTTCGTTTCTTGTTCTTGTTTTTAGGATCTCTTCTTGTTTCGTAGGATCTGAAAAACTCTAATCATTATACCGGCTTCTGTAAATATTAGGCTATCGTGCATTAGGGTAGGGTGTAACGATCAGATGCTGGAAGATGACTTAACGATAATTGTCCGCGCAAACAAATAATTTTTCGTGCAATGGGATTCACTCGACACGAGATGCACTTTTTTTGTGGCAAAAGCGCACGTTGCTTCTTGATAGTGCAATCTTTAAAAGTGAATTTTTACTAGTACTTAAATGTTTATGGATAAAGAGTCGACGATTAACGAGTTTATTAGATAAATACGGGCTGTTAAACTCTAAAAATATACATAACATATTCATATGTTGTTGACTTCGTATACTCGATATGAATTGGTATCAAATATCTTATCTTATTCGTATTGATCATCCATCGTATATCATTTTTACTGGATGCTTGACAGAAATAAGAGTCTTCTAATGATTCCAATTTTTCGAATAGTCTTAATCGATGCATAGATCTTGCCGGCATGTAATTGTTGCACCGAAACCTTGGAATGTATATAACCACGCGCACGTATACATACGCACATGTTAAAATAAGAGCCAAGTACACATGTTACGATCTTCGCACATTATGTCCAATATTACTGTGTAAGAATTAAGTATAAGCATTGTATTTGACAATAAGACTTAATTATAAAATTACGTGTATTTACGTACATGTGTAAGAAGAGGTATTCTGAATGTCT